GATCGGGGCTGACCATACGCTTACCGCAACCCCTGGCCTTATTTTATATTGCAAATTGTTCTACGATATCGCGAATCACCCTGCGATAATCCGCGTGTGGAAGCGGCCAGCGCTTTACGCCTTATGTTATGGATAATGCTTGCACTTTATAGCGAATCAATAATATAATATAGAATTGAATTGTAATATATGTATTGAAGGCATTTATTCCACTTTTGTCAAACAAATAAATCTTGTTAATTCAATAACAATATTAATCAAATAACGTTATGCTCTTGCGTTTTAATTAATGCTACTGTTTTAGAGTTAACAAGATTCATTCAAAGGCTGCAACGTTATTTTTGTTTTTATACATATTATGATACATTTATAGAGATATTTATATAATTTTTTAAGATACATTTAATGACATTTTTTTAACTTTTAAATACTTTTTTATTTTTTAATCGTTTTAATATTTGCGGAATTAAAAATAAGATGAGGTAAATTATTAAAAATAATTTCTTTTCACGATATTTTTTACTCACTATACTACTGATCGGGAAAAAGACAAATCTTCGACGGAATGATTAACTATTCGATTAACAATTCAACATGCGGAACGCGACTCAGAAGCTACCCGCTGTTTCCTATCTTCTCTCGCCGTAAAAATTCGGCGCCGCCGTATTATCGCGGGAACAATAAAATAGATCTGCCTGCTTAGTATCCAGCCGCGAGTTACGATTAAAAGATCGGCACCGGGGATCCGCCCAGGCCATGTCCCGAATTCTCAGTTCTTGGCAAGGCTTTCGTAAGATATGGGAACTCTGGAGGGACCCGACGAATCTAGCATCACTCGGGAGAAGTAACCGCCAGGATACGCCTCGATACCGAGCACGATACGATGACTCGAAAGTCCTCCTTGGGTTTACGCTTATCGTAAACATCGTCGCAGACAAATCTTTTCTAAGCTGATCGGAAGCGAATGTTTCTCTTCGCATTATACGATTCTGAGTGCGCATAGAAAAATCTTACGTGTATATATAGCTTAATATCCTTGCAGTTTTATCGATTTTTTTTCAAATCATAATAGAATCTTGAAATAATGAACAAAAATAGTCTGATATTTTGTGATATTTTTGAAAAATAAGAGCTTCTTCCCTTGTTAAATACTATGGATGCCGAGAAGAAATTTTTATTCCGCGAGGAATGACTATGAATACTCGTAATGTGACTACGCGAGCCTCCTCAAGTATAATCTGTCGGGCATGTGCACACTAGTTGCGCAATTCGATGAACGAAAGAAGGGAAACACATAGAAAGAAGGAGGGTAGTACATAGCGGGCATATATAGGGGCTTGCGCGCGCTTGGGAGACTTTATGGGGGTCCCCGAGTATATTTCCTGATTGAGCGAACTAATCCACGCAAAGGAGGTTTTATCGTCGAGTATACGCAATCGAAGGGGTCCCGTCTACGTGGATGTCACATCGAGTGAGAACGCTCGATTAAGACGCATGCCGATGGAGCGCGTTTCTCTCAGAAGCCTCAAGATCTGTAATATTTCAAAGAACATCGACACCTATCCAGCTATCGGCACGATATCAATTTTACGTAAATATCGATGTTTGCTTCGACAAACACAAAAGTAAGATTAATATTTTCAAGCAGAGAATTCGTATCGTACTTTGTATGTAATTTGTTAGACTTAGAACTTGTACAGGGAGAATTTCTTACGCTACACTTTTTCAATAAGTATGAAATTTGAAAATGCTGATTTAATAGACACAAAATTCTTAAAATTGTGAAAAAGTTTCTCATTCGAAAACATCAATTCGTTCAACGCGACATTGTGTGCAACAGTGAAATGATTAATATTACAATTTCAATTAATATTGACCGCGAAACATATATTGAAAATATTCCAATATTACACTCAAAAAAATGATCTTGCAATAATAGCTAAAATTTTCTAGGTGTAAAAAATTAACTAAAACAGATAAATGATTAGCAACTGTTGTGATATTGCATATGTAATTACTTAATCAGTTTAGATGACAGAAACAGAATATATATCTGTATTGTTTGTGAACTTTAAAAAGAAAGTTTCTCTAAAGCGCCTATCTATATAAGATCAATCACGTGTTAGATCATGCAATGAATAACATTTAGCAATGGTACCTAAATTTTTCAGAAGCTATTGCTAGAACATTACTGCTATAAATTCTATATGTGACAAACAATGTTTTCACAGATACAAAAAATAGCGATACATTCTTGTTGCGATATCTAGAAATCTAACTACATCAGCGAAATATTTTTTTGAGTGTAATGCGTCGTCTGTTACGCACGCAATTGGAAAGGCTCGTGCGCGACGTGCGCTGTGAAACGGATTTTTTCTCGGATGTACGATTCGGATTCGGTTTCGGGGATATTTTAAAGTCTGCGGGCTCAATGTGCCGCGAAATGCGTCATCCCCCCTCCACTCTCGTCGTAATACAGATGCCATATAGATGGGTACAAATCCCCGGGAAACTCTTCATATCTATAACCGCCTTTCTCTCTCGACTACCTATCTAAAACTACCCTGCGAGACGCGCGTCGGGGTAGTTTTAAACAATCCGCCGCTCAACCCCTGCTACGTGACTGAGTATATTGCCGTTCGAGGATATGGTCTTACGATATGAGAGATCTTTTGATTTCACTCGAGCCGGGCCACCCTCAAACATAGATGGATCCTTCGTGATTCAGGAGTGTCGCGGCACTGACAATGAGTTAAGTTCGGAATTATGCTAGAAACGGTCTTTCGCGCGATGGGAATCGAAGAAAGAGTAAAATTCGTTACGTATAAAACAAAAAGTATCTCGACTATTCTGGCTACGCTTGTGCAAGCACGACGCGCAACTAAACACATTGTTCACGGAGGACAATTGTCATTTAAGCGACAATGACAGGCCCGTCACGTTCTAATGAGCGTACACTCTGACGTGCTACTGCTTCAAGTCAATCCGATAGCAGTTAACGAATTGTTGGTAGGAGAAGGGCGAATAGGAAGGGTTTGCGGTTAGCGCGGAGGGGTTGACAGGGGAACGCATAATACATTGTTACCCCATCCACCAGATTCACCCCTTTCATGAGCAGTAATTTTCCCTACACGAAGCCGACATTGGGGTGAACTATCTCATAATTAAAATTACCCTACTGGTGATCGGCTCTGAATATACTTGACTTTGTTGCGTTTATCTATTTACGTTTTCTTTTCTTTTAATGCTAAAATATCCTCTATTCTACAAGAAAAGAAAAAATAACTGAAACAAGATCAACTATTTGATGTTTAATCGCTGCCAAAAGTATTTCATTTCTCTTTTCTCTGCTAATGTAATATTCTAATTAGAATAACATCGATCATAAATGACATCTACTGTAATATAGTGTGATTATCATAGTTTTCACCTCTAGTGATACATCAAAGCTATCTCACGTTAATTTTTATCCGCGCCATTTTAAAATGTTTTAAAATTTCATATTGCACTAATATTTCTGCTGCTTGAACGCAATATTAAAATATCTTTAAATAACAAAATTCTAATTGATAATAATAAAATTAGTATACATTCATATTAAAGCCTATTTTAAACGATATAGTATCTATATTTGATTGTGATTTAGTAAACAAAATGTGGCACGAATGCGCGACCTACATTTGATCCAGTTTCTTGCGAAACCGGGAACTTCCAAAATGATCTCGAATTCCTTTCATGATCCGGCCACTTATCCCCGGCACCCATTTGAAATGCAGTCACACAGTCGCAAGAACACTCGACTCGCCACCGAATGGATATTAGAGGACGAAATAGCCCGATACGAATGTACACTTGACAAGAGGCTACGAGTAGCAGGACTCCGCGGCTGGTCGGCCGGAAGCGACTCTCCGCTAGCGTGGATATTAAACTTTGAAGATGTTCGCTTGTCGACTTGTCGCCCGCGTCTCGTGCCTTGCGCCTGACTCAGCAAGTGTCATTAATAACTTCGAGAAGGCAGATAAAGTGCTAAACACTCTCACGCGGACTCTCGCCGTGTGCTTGGGCACACGTCATTACCCTGGCTAACCGGAGATCCGATAAAGACTCGCTCTGATACATCATCTAAGACCTTGTCGACCGTGAGTCGTTTTCAGACATTGTATATAGAGCAAAAGTTAGTTTATATTATCAAATAAAATTATGTCACAGAGGCGGAAGATCTTTAATCTTCAACCTAGAGTAGGGAGGACAGTTTTATACTTGAGATATTTTTAAATAACATCTACCGATTATTTTTCAACTAATACTTTTTCAACACTAAATAAGTACATATCTGATAAATATTTTTCTAGCCACTTATTAAAATTTGTTAAAATTTTTTAAAATTAAATCTTTTAAATCAAGGCCAACTTTAATCCCATATATTTTTTAAATTATATAATAAATGATTTTTGAAGAACAGAAAAGTTTATGAATCAAAAGCGCAGGATGTCGGAACGCAAAAAATATTTCGTTCTTTATTTTGTTTTAATTCGTAATATCTTTTACGCCTCGATATCCGTGCTTTTGATTCATAGTCTTTTTTTGTTGATTTTTTGAAATAATTATTTTCAGAGACAATCAAATCAAAAAAGATTAAACTAAGATATCCTGTATGTAATGAAAAAAAAAGTGGCAATTACTTCTAGAAAAACACTGGTACATAAAACACATGTATTATGCCTACATTTGTGTATAATGACATTTAGCAAGCTCGATACATTGTCCCTTGAATGTATAGCAAACGCGCTAATATTCATTAATATTCATCGACGGCAGACAAGTATTTTGTGTCCGCGAAATGTAAACGAAGCTTTACAATTCGAGGCATAATCACAAATGGCACGAGAATCCGTAATGTACATTAGTTGGGCTTTGACAACCTCACTGCTTAATAATTAATTGCACGATAAAATCGCGACTAGAAAAGTTGAAATTATCGCGCGCCGATCGAGGGAAGGTCGAATGAATTTTTTATGCCCACATCGTATGTATTGTTGCACTACATACCTTCGCTCGGTCTGATAACGAAACAGTTAACGCTTTAACGTACCTGCGAGAAGAACGTGTCACGCCGCATTTTTACTTGCGCTCTTCTCGTTAGATTATTATATCAAAATTCGCGTATGTGTGTGTACGTTTAATAATCATTCAGTTAAACATGAAAAAGGTCAAGATGCAAAGTCAAGAAAAACTGCCAATAACAGAAGCAAAATTTTGGACTATTCTGAAGAAGCAGGCTGCCGAATTTTGTCACGAAACCGGATTGCATGGTTACAAGTATATCAGTCAAACTCAGCGCACTAAAACGGAACGGTATGTATAGCCTCCTTAATTATTTATATACTTATATATTTAATATTATTAACATACATTCACAAAATATTCTTTTAACACATTTACCGAAGTCGATCTTAGTCAACTCATATTAATAATTCAATTTTTCTAAATGCTTTTCAACTCGACTACGCACACTTTGCTTTTAAAAGAAAATATATTTTTTATTATAGAAATAATTTTTAATTAAATTAATTTCTAGTTGAAGTTAGTAAAAATAATATTTTGTTATTAGCAACTTTAAAAGAAGGCTTATAAAGGACCCCGCACAAAACCACGGGAAATTGCATTTCGGTCAAATTTTTTGAAACTCTGGAGATCGATAGTTTATGATCCCCTGAGAAAAGTCTGTGAGTATGAAGCCCCACAAATCAAATGTTGGGCCTCCAGAATCATTGGAAGGGTCAAAAACTGCCAAAAATCGTTTATTTTAAGTAAATGAGTTATCAACTGTACTGCTCTTACCTGCTTACCTGCGATTGTGTTCAAACATGTACAGTTAAAATATATGAAAATGTGTGTGTGTGTGTGTGTGTGTGTGTGTGTGTGG